ATACCCTACCAAGTAGTCCGGCCGTCCCGCACCATATAGGGCAAGTGGTACGTAAGGCTTCCCGGTGAATCTGAGTACTAGTAAGTCCTTAGGGATGACCAAGCCAGAATGTCTTCATCAGGGTTTTCATTTACCGTGCCACCACAGCACCTCCACCATGGGCTCCTCCCATCACAGGTTCACACCCAGGGCCACCTCATATACCATTTACCCACCACAGGTATCCATTCCAGGGGTGCCCAGGTAGCACCCCACGGCAAGACTTGCCCCAGGCTCGTCGTATACTCCAACTTGGTCGACACAACCCTCACCCTCCACGCACCCAAGTCACACACGCAGCACTCTCCCCATGGTCCAGATAACACCAGTTTCCACCACGCATCAATGTAGTGCAAGCGTAGTAGAAGTAATAAGCAAAGAAATATAATAGCAAGCGTGTGACTAGCCTAACAGCAGGGTGAGCAGGGGTAAGGTTGCGTCAAGGTAAAGGCCATCAAAAAAGCATACTACCATGCAAGTCCTACCATAGTGTGATCATACAATAAAGTAAGCACTAGCATTTCTATTTTAGCCATGCGTAATAGGTGCTACGAGATTGGGTGGGATGTGGCACCTTCAGTGTAGTCGTCTCTGTACTCCTCACGGTACTCACGATCCTCGTCCGTCCGGTTCTCCTCCGAGTCTACAAACGATCGCATTATAGTCGCGTTAGCGATGTCTATAGAATAGCACAAAGAAGTCATGAAAATTCAAAAGAGTAAAATGCACTCAAACATGGGTTCATTGCGTAGAGCTTGATTTTAGATGAATTTTGGTCCTGGTTTCGTATTTTTCTAAGGTCATATGAATTAGTTATGAATTTCTGAAGTTTAAATCATTTCTGAAAATGGAAAAAGGCTAAATTAATCCTGGGCTGACACGTATCACGCTGTGACTAGTCCACGTGGCATGCTGACGTCAGCATGACGTCGGCATGACGTCAGCATCTCGGTTCCGAGCTGACAGGTGGGGTCCAGTTGACGTCAGCAACGTCATCAATTCTGACAGGTGGGTCCAGGGACTCTCGGGTCACTGACATGTGGGTCCGATCAAAGTCAACATCAAGTCAACGGTGAGTCAACGGTCAACGGGTCAGCGTCACTGACGTGTGGGGCCAGGGCAGCTGATGTCATCATGATGTCAGCATGACGTCACCTCGACCATGTCGGCTTCTGACGTGTGGGCCCCGCGTGACGTCATCACGACGTCACCCACCGACGTGTGGGTCTAGTGTGTCTGTGCCACTAACATGTGGGGCCAGGTCAACAGTCAACGTTAACCGATCAACGGTCAACACAGACTGGGTCTCAAACGGGCTCTGGCAGGCTTCGGGTTGGGCCGGTCTGGGCCGGGCCGGGCTGGACACGTGGCAAGCTGTGGCGCTGCCACGTCACTGCCATGGGCTCCTACTGGGCTTCGTTTCCAGGCTGTGGGCGTGAGCGTGGCTCATGGTGGACCAAGAGGCGCTGGTCTATGGACCTAAGGCAAGGTGCATGGTGGACCAAGTCTACCCTTCCTCCTTCTGGCTTAGCCTTCGTGCACCGAGTTCATGCGCGTGTGGCCGGCGAGGGAATTTTCCCCTGCTTCCTTGCCGGCGTGTTCCCGCCGGCGACGTGCTCACCGGCGAGCTTCCGCAGCGGCGCTAGCGCCCAATTGACGTGGGGAAAAACACTGCCAAGTCTCGGTGACTGCGATGGTGGGGTCTAGTGGCGGCTGGGGCTTCCCAAGGCGCTGGCCACGGCGAACGGCGGCTCGACGTGGCGGTGCTCGTCGGCGAGCCCCTTCCAAATGGCGCGGCGTTCAACTAAGGTGGGCAACGGCTCGGCCTTACCATGGCGGGTGCCCTAGTGGCGCTTAGCGAGGTGGTGGACGCTCTGTTGGTGGCAGCGGTGGCGGTGCACGCGAGAGCTTCGGTAGGGTCCGGTGCTCGTGGCCGGGGTGCTATGGCGGCTATCGACGACTTCGGTCTCTGCGGCTAACCTCCGGGCGTCACGGTGTGATCCTCTGGGTGCATCTTAGTCCAACAGCGACGCCAAAGGAACAGGCCATGCCGGCGTGACCCCGGCCCGCTCTGCCAGTGTTGCTGGGGCTTGGTCGGTGGTGGCGGTGTGGGGAGGAAGACGACACCATGTGGATGGGCGTCTTGGTGACGCGTGGGGTCCGGCAGCGATGAAGATGGCGAGGGGAGGCGCGGCGCGTGGGCGGCGTGTTGGGCCGTTCTTTGGGCGGCCGCCGATCGTCGCGAAGAAGTTAACTGCTCTTGGCGATCTGAGGGCTAGCTTATATTGAGCAGGCCGAGCTAGGCTCACTGCAGGCCTTCTTCCCCTTTTTCTTTTTCTGTTTTATTTTCCTTCTTCTTTATTTGAATTCAGTTTTGATTTTGAAATTTGGATCCCAAATTGGTGTACCTTTTAGATATGATGCTCATATCATTGTTATATATATTAGGAATTTATTTAGTTGTTTTGTATAACAACATAGGTGTAGTTTGTTATATATAAAAATTAGAATTAGTTTTCTCTTTTTACACATTTATCCTTTGGTTTGAATAATGATTACTTTATGGTGTGTTTCTTTTAAGGAGTTTTTAGGCATTACATAAAACAGATGAAAATTCAAATCACCATTTTAGTTAACAATGTATGCAACACTTTGTTTGTTGGAAATTAAATAAACATAACTAACAAATGACATGCCATGCTTATGTGTTGACTTGGGTTGGGGTTAGACCTAATGCATCTCTTAGGTTGGGTTTCTATACATGACACTCATCATCACATGAGAATTTTGAGAAAAAATTTGTAGTTGGTATTTTTGGTGTATGGATTTTTTTTTGGGTTGTTACACCTACTCGAGGGATACGCACTAATTACGTTCAAGACCATATCACCAACGATAAGCTTGACTAAGATAATCATATCTTCTTGCCTTCTCATTCCCGCCACACCATTCTTGAAGCTCTTATCAATCAAAACTCCTACTCCATTTTAGAATTTTATAAAAATTTCCACAACAACCACCTTACCCAAAACATCTCAATTTTATAATTTATTTTTAATTTTCATAAATAACAACAACAACATAGCCTTTCAAAATTTGATGCTGGTTGAAATCCCTGCAAAGGATATGTAGCAACACTAGGAATTCTATTTAGATTATAATCATTTAACCCATATGCCATAGCCTTACTTTTATGAACCAGAAAAAGAAAAGTCAAAATTAAAAGTTCTTTGACACTATCAGAATGCATTTGTTTTCTGTCTTTTTCAGAAATATCGGAATAAGGTGAAGCACATACCAGCTCAAAATGAAATCTCATATATGTGCATTGCGGAAGGTGACATTTTAGTTCTTGAAGCTTCCTGTTCCTATGGTGCATAGAACCCTAGGTGGTAGCCATTGATCTGATGAATCAGGTATTCCCGATCAGACTCTTTTTCAAATTTTGAATACTAGGCTCTTGCAGTTCAACAATATATGCTGGCACAGAGAATTCCAATAACTGGTCTTCAGACCTCCCCTGATGACCTGATGTGTCTTCTCATTCATAGGGTGCATGCAGTGCAAGGATGTCATCAATGCAACCCAGAGCTGATTGGCGTATTTCCTCCATGCATGAAACCGCTGTGAAAATTGGGGCCTGTGTGGTATGATTATTGAAATAGAAAGACAAAGGGGAGTTATTGTAGGGTGATGCAATGATCTTCATAAATGAGTCCAAGAGCTCTCACCGTGGTTTATGTAACCCACTCAGGGACAGTTATGAGCAAGGCACTTAAGGCTGTTTGCACCATGCAGACTAGACGAGCTCAAATTGTTATGGGCATGCCTCTCCAAACAAAAAACCTGCCTAATTTCACTATTTTCATGATCTATGGAAAGGTCTACTTGTATGTTGCTGTTTGGAGCGACACAACTCGGGGATGCAGTTTCTTTGAGATTGAGATGGTGCAATCCAAGTTGTTTGGTCCCTTTGAAAATCCTAGGATTTGAGTTTCATCTAGGAAAATAGGATCCCCAGAACATACTAAATCGAATTTATTTTCACCAACATAAATTTTAGGATGTTCCTGAACCGTGACTAGGGGCTCTCGGTGGGTTTCAACTCTAGCCTACCCCAAACTTGCTTGGGACTGATAGGCTTTGTTGTTGTTGTATAAATTTTAGGATGTTCCATTGTGACACCAACTAATCAGAGCATAGGTTAAATTAGTGATATTACAGTATCATAGAAATGTCTTGATTCTATGTTATCTTCTCCCAACTCCAAGATATTAGTTCCCTCCAGACATATTGTTTCCCAGACACCTCCACGATTGATTTCAATGTTATCAATGCCCACATGAGCCTGCTAACCATGGCACCCAATGTCATTCCTATACCTATTTTCAATTCTGTGTGCAAAAGCTACACCAAAGAAATATCCATATGCAAAATCAATACCTCCTTGATAAAAAAAAAACTTAAACCCATTTTATACTTTGGTACAAGAATAAAGAGTGTGTAAGTTGACCATGTTTACTCTTCGGTTATTAACTCTTGAGTGGAATTAAGCAATGAGAGTCAAGGGAATGAAGAAGCAATTAAAAGGAGTCTATTTACTAGTTCTTTTGATAAGGGCAAGGAGGAAAGAATGATTGATAAATGCCTCCAAATCATAGAATGACTTTCATTCGGAATAGGTAATGATAGCTGAAAGCCTGAAACGACTTACATTTCAAAGACAAAAGAGAGGGAGTGCATCATATCGAATTGTACAGGATGGTTCCTTTTCAAACGAATTGAGTACTACCAAAATATCTCCTGCATCAAAAAGAGAAGAGATTCAAATTTCTACATCTGAAGACATGTTCTTTTCCAACTTCAGAATGCCACCTTGAAACCTTGCACAACAGCACTGTCAGAAATTGTTTCTGAAAATGTTCAGTCTCGATCTTTAAGTCTTCCACAGTACAAGTAACTCAAAGTTGGTAAACTCCTACAGATGAACTCCTGTATATGGCCAACCATAGAAGTGCTGGAACACCAAAACAGTAGATGGGTGCATCCATGAATGGGTTGACCTCATATGCCCTCACAATAGCTCTACAATGCTGCAGAAAAGTGATTGTTGGCGTGAAAGCTCACACATTTGCACGCACAAAAGTATGGTTCAAGTGGTCACAATGTAACACAATCAGGCAAGGAAAAAACAAAACATCATTAGGAACTGAATAAATCCCAGTTTTACTATCTACAGCTGATCAATTGCATATTACCTGCTGCTATTTGATTCCACATTTTTTCACTCTTCACTGTATGCAACTCTAATGAGAAGGCACCTCCTTCAAATTAAAATTTTCTCAATGGGCTCGTATAAATTCACAGCTGCCCAAGGTCACACACTCATGGATTTAAGGATAGTAGCTGATGACAAAAACTCCATACTAGTGAAAAACTAAAGGTAACAGCCGACCTTTGAGTGGGAAATCTTTCTATGAGCAGAAGAGCTATTATGTACGAAATATAGCCTCCAAAAAAGACAGTCCTTAATTCTGCCATACCTAAGAAACAAAATGGCAGCACATGAATATAGGCCCTATTCACCTCACATGTGAAGCTAAATTCCATAACCACTGAGTTTTATTAATGAGAGATTACTTCAGTCTCTTAAGGAAGAAAAACCCAAATGGGACTTCTAATGCCATGTTACAACTTCAACTAAGCCATTAGGACATTATATTCATAATGGAAAAGACATACACAGGTTCAAAAATCAAAATGATTCAGAAGGGTTTGTAAACTACCCTTGAAATTTGAGGGAAGAAAATACCACACTTGAAATTTTATAATCATCATAAGAAAGTTCATAAATTTGGGAACAAAAGGATTAAACTCATTCAAAGGGAGGTGTTTATATGGTTTCATTTCAACAGGTGCCAATCTAATATTGCCAAGTGCATGAGTTCAAGTTGAAAGGAAAGCATACCTTCCAATGTTTCCAGACAATTGGTAGGCATAGAAGTATTAGAATCTTTCTCAACCAGTAAAATATGTAAACATTCTTCATGTGCCATGCCTTTTTGTAGTGATCATCATCCTTCTTTGTTCTCTGGGAGAAATGATGACCTAGATACAGTGCTCTTTCTGCTGCTATAGCTGCTATAAGAAGAAACGCTGGCAAGACCACAAACAGAAGATGAGGAAGAACAATAACCATCACATCAGGCAAACCAATACATGGCAACGCAGTGGTGTTGGCAAGATATCTAGTGCTCCAGCCTCTGTAATGCAAATACATCTTATTGTAGTTCTCCGTGACAGCATAGCCAGTAAACCATGGGAAGAAAACCAAATATAGCAAATAGAACAACATTCCAGACCAGATAAAATACATCTTCGAAAGCTCAACTGCAAAATACTCAAAATTAACAGGCGAAAAGCCTCCTAAACTTCTTCCGGTCAACTTTGGTCTAATAAATTTTGACATGAATCGGTTCTCATAAAACGTGAGAGAAGTGCGAGGAACCAGAACCAATGAAAAAAGAAATGCAAGGGTAGTCCACATAATTGGGTAGTACAGCTGATTCCATTGGCAACCCATTACTCTAAATTCTTTCCACGTCCAACTAACTTTTGCAGTTAGACCACTAACAGAAAATGGTCTCGGTTCACTATGGTAAATCTCCCCAGTCATATCCACTACTTCTATCTGGAGCCAGTATCGATCTGGTAGCTCATCTAAAAAATCCCTCCAGTTCCATGGGACTGTATACATAGCTCCTCTAGCTCCCTTGCCCCTAGTTTTTTCCATTTCTTGCTCTAGGACCAGTTGAAAATTTCCAGAATGTGATTCGTATATTTTAACAGTTACAGATTTAATCTTGTATCTTGAAAAGACAAGAGCTCTCACTGTCCCAACATGTGTGGTGCTCATGGCTTGGCAAGCAAAATCATAAGGATACGAAGATCTATGCATAAACCGTGAATCCAACGGAAAGGTGGGTACTATAATCACATCTCTAAAGCCAAATCTGAAATCCATATCTGTATATGAGACATAGCCAGAATCAATAGCAAGAATCCTCATGCTCCTGGCACTTCTCCAATCACCCATCTCCCATTCCCAGAATTCTGCTACAGACTCTGTTGTCCTTGCAGAACAATTGACATTACTGACAGTTGTTGACATACCCTCATGGATATCCAACTGAAAGTACTGTTTAAAAGAAAATCGTTGCTGGTCAGATGTATGATGTCGCTTCAAATTTCTTCCAAAGTTGGTATGAAGATGCCCACACAGGTAAGCGGAGAGTGAATGCTTCAGAAAAACATCTCTAATACTTCTTCCAGAAGTTGTCAATGCAGAAAAGGATATAGGGAAATGCCCAAAGACGATCTTGGTTACTAGGGAACTTGTAGATTGATTATCCCACTGTGAAAGTGCTGCATCTAAATCAGAAAGCAACTGATCTGTAGGTTGGCCAAATATGTTTGTTGGGCTTCGGAGACCAACACCCATTGCACTGTCAAATCCAACAAATAAATACTTCATGCCGCTATTCTGCACAATTTAAAGCTAGGATAAGACTGTAAGCTTAAAACAATCCCATACTGGACTTATACTAAGCCATAATAGCAGGTTAAAAAAGTGTATCGTTTCTCGGCAAGATTAAATAGATTTGTGCTTACTGGAACCAACCTGTAATGTCATACTTTGGACAGCCCCTGTTCGTCCTAATCTTGCATTAATGCTGTGCTTTTTGTAGAAATCAAACATACCACCAACCTCAGGAACACCATATGAATCATGATTACCTCGTAAATCATAAAATATTTCCTTGCTCAGCCCACTCCTATTAGCAACTTCATCAATAACTTGTCCATACAGAATCCATTCAAACTCCTCTTGCCTCGATGACAACAAATCTTTACTTTTTGCATCTGAGCATAACAATATAAGATAAAACAACTCATTAAGCTTCTGTAACTCTGTTAGAACTGAAAATAAAACCTATATTTCGTTACTTCCTAAACGTATATGATACAGAGTATTCTTCTTGTTTCACTTTCCAATTGAGCGTCCAAAATGCAAAGTTGCTATCAGATAACATAAACAAATAAAAAGAAATAACAAGCATGATATTTGAATTTTGAGGCAACTTTTAAAAATTGACTGCACAAATTAGTGAATATCAAATACTATGGCAATTGATCTTAAAAGAGGATAAGGGTAATTTTCATGCAACAATACCTATATCAATCATGCGGGGAATGAACATTACTACAGATTCCACTAAAAGCAGGTGCAATAGAATCTTTTAAAATTATATGAACCTTTGTCAGAAATGATGCTTGGCATCGTGCCACTGATAATTTGCCATTATCTTGTGTGATGGATTTTTAAGATAAAAAGAAACTCATACAATTGGAGTGTTGGTCAAAGCAAGTTGTAACCAATCATCCTGGGTTACATAACCATTTCAACACTAGAGCATGCATAAGGGCACCCGCAGTGGTGGGTTGACTCTTCGAACAGAGAGAAGACCACGTCGGCCCAAAATCGAATCGTGGAGAAGTTGACTCATACGCTCAAAAAACTTCTCCAACGGCGTGGGACCCACAACCGACTCATCCCTTTCTTTTCTATCGGCTGCTACTTTCCCCTCTTCTCTTCTCTTCCGGCAAGCAACGAATCGCAATCCGCGTCTCACCACGACCGTCTCTGCCAAATATGGCGTGGCGATCCACTGCCGTCTCCACCAAAGATGGGCGGCGGCGGATCCATGGCCATCTCCACCAAAGGTAACGCTGGTCGGTACCGGCGCTGCCTCCACCACCGGCGGCGCCGTAGGTCGCGCGACCGGTGGCGCGACGTCGTGGCGCGCGATCTCTCCACCAGGATACCAGCGGCGGCGCGGGTCGCGCTCGGACGGGTCTCCCGAGCGGCGCCATGGGTCGTGGCCGGACGAGCTCTCCTGAGCGAGCGCCCTGTTCGCTTGGCTTATAAGCCGTACTTTTTCAGCCAACGATCAATATTTTTCTCTCACAACAAATCAGCCAACAGTACTTTCAGCCATAGCTTATCAGCCAAGCGAACAGGGCACTATGCGTCGCTTTTCTACACCCACTGGAGAAGCCCTAAGAATGTTATATTTGTTGGCTAAGCTTCTATCAAACAACAAAAGTTATTAACTCATGCATTAGTTCAAGAATAATTCTAAACTTTCTTAAAGCAGTTGATGAAGCAAATGTATATGTTTAGCAGGGACCCGTTCTTTCACAATAAAATGATAAGCAATGGCTGTTGAATACTCGTTCAGACTTGGCCTTAAAATGCTTTGAAAAGCAAAATTACAGCATATAGCTCAACTACTTTAAATATATTAAAGAACTCAATAATCCTCTAGTACAAATAATGCTGCCATTGAGCCGTCCTGTTAGTCAAAGATGGCATAGCTCTTTAATACTGCAAGCTTGGAAATGTTATTAGATTGCAGCCTATTTATAAGAATAAAGGTAGACACTATGCTAGGGAAAGATGCACATATTATCCTTTCTTTCCATTCCACTCTTCCATCCAATCCACCACCCAATACTCTACCTCCCTGTATCAGAATTTAGCAGCAATGCAATGCACAACCTTTCCAGTTCCAGAGGAACATAATAAACAAGTTAAAACAGTAAAAGACTAGTAAACATATATAATTAGCCTAGCAAATGTTGTATTAGAGCCTAAGCTAAACCTCTCACATCGAACTAGAACCAGATCCCAGTCCTCTTAAACCAAACCAGCCAAAATTTCAAGCACACGCAGGCGAAGAAGGCAGGAGGAAGCTTACCGGTGAGATCGCCGGTGATGAGGACGAGCCCGGGGTTAACCATGGCGAGCGCGTCGCCCACGTGGCGGCGGAAGTCAGCGGCGCGCTCCGGGTGGAAGGCGCTGAGGTGGAGGTCCGAGAGCTGCACCGCCCACACCACCGACCGCGGCTCGCCCGGTACCTCCACCACCCGCCGGAGGTCTCCGCCGCGCGCAGGGGAGGGGCCGCAGCCAGAGAGCAAGAGCGGCAGCGCGACTAGGAGTAGAAGGTCCCGCAGGCTAGGGGTCGCCGCCCGCCGCCGCGGCGAGGCGGCCATCGTCGGACTTGGATCCTGGATTAAGCTTCGAGGCGGTCCCCAGAATGTTAGGTAGCGTTTGGTTTGGAGACCAGGTGCGGTGCTCTAGCTCGTGGGACGAGTTCATTTTGTGTTAAGAGGGTCCCAATCCGTTTTCTGTTTATTCAGGGACAATTAAAAGTAGGATGAGCCACTGATATATAGGGCCTGCATCTATCAGATTTTTTCCCTTTTATTTTTTTCTTTTCTCTTCTTCCTTATCCTTTCTTCTTCGTTCTTCCGTCTCGGACCGCGAGTCGTAACCCCGCGCTACAATGCCGCTGACGCCTGGCCTCCATCGCGATCTCCATGTGCCTCCTCTTCCTCCACCCACGATCCGCGCCCTCCTCCACCTCCACCCGGGACCTCCTTCTTCGGCTTCCGGGCCTCCGTTCACTGGAGTCGGCCCGCTCGACCTTGCTTCGCCCTTGCCTTTCGACCCGTAGCCATGAGTCGCCATCACCCAGTTGCCCCGGTCTTGGCGCGACGAGTAGGGGAATAGCTCAATAGCTGGGCTGGTGGTGGAACCCGCTGCCATCCTCCTCTCCCTTCTCCTCTCTCGTTGTCGGCGGCTCGAGAGGCGGCGTGCTTTGTCCACATGGCGACCTCTGAGGGCGGCGCTTCCCAGATTAGGTTCCTCCGTCTTCAAGCTCCTCCAAGCGTCGTCCTTCTTCCTCCCATCCTCTCCCTTGACGTCGTCCTGTGAGTGAGCGCACCTTCTCTCCTTCTTCCTCGCCACCACCCCGCTCGTCCCCATTTAATGACCACATCCCCTCTCGATTTAGGTGGGGCCAGGCGTCGGCGTCGAATCTGTCGGCATATTCCTCGCAGGGACGGACTCGCCCCTAGCTGCCTCTCATCCAAACAACCCTCATCCCAGGATCATCCCACTTCATCCTAGTTGATCCCCTCAACCAAACAGACGTTTAGCCTCTCTAGTCGCCAAAGGCCTCTAGTCATGGTTTGAGCGTCCCATCGGCACTCCTCACGTCCGGATTTGACTTCCCATAGAAGCGAATTTCAGGCTGGGTTAAAAAAATTCCTTCATTTGTCCCACATCAAAGCATAGGTCTAAGGACCGACCCGTTTTCACAGGGCGACGGTGCCACTGTGTAAGAATGGGACAGGGATTTGGGGATTTTCTAAGCCTGTGTGAGAAGTTCTTCTTCTTAATGCAATGTCTGGGGGTGGTCGTACCCTCGCAGGTCCAGTTAGCCTCTCTAGTCTAGTGCTACAACTACGACTAACCGGAATTGCTTCTGCCAATGAGATAAATTAAAAATAAATTGTTCTAGTGTAAAATTTGCAATTCGGCTGCCGCCAAAGAGCATTATCTGCAGAAACACTGCGTAGATACGCGACCTACTGTGGACAATCTTTTTTTCCCTGATGAAATTGCACAAAACTAAAAAAACCAAACATTTCTGAAGTCACATCAATCTTATTCAGATACTCAATTCATGCAAACAACAAACATTACCGATACACACTTTGTTGGAAAGTACCATTTTATAGAGAGGGCCTTCGCCCGTCGGATGCCCCAGGCGAGGTCTTACCATGAATATACTGAGCTTGGCCTCAACATTGAGTACTATATCAATGCGTCTCCTTTGGCTGCGATGACAAATGACTTGGCCAAGACAGTGGCATTCCCTCCTGTGGAGGCTACGGCTGCCTCAAAACTCATGATGAACTGGCGGGGGTCTGATCTTCCGTTGAATTTGGGTAGGGTAATGAGCTTGTAAGATGGTGACCAAGGTGAGGTTTGAATTCCCTCGGAGAGTGGGGATCTTGAATCTATAGCTTTATGGGATGACGGTGAGTTGAATGGTGTGCCGAAGGTTGGCTGGATGGCCATACCTGGCGAAGGGTTAGGCTGGCTTTGATCTACTGACCGGAACTGGTTGGAAATGTTAGACTGAGGCTGGCTTGGCTGCATACTTTGAATCTCCGCTTGTAGGACAGCCAACTATTGCGTAATCTCTGCTGCCTGCAATGATGTCTGTGCTGTCCTCTAATTTGCGGCGAAGGTTGCTGCTAGCCTATCTCTTTCTTGTTGTGTACTTTGCAGCTGGGCTTGCAATTGTTGGAGTACCTGCTCCAAGGTGGGATCTGAGGCTTATTGATCTTTGGCTATCGGAGGCTGATCTTCGACCACGGGTTCTTCCACAACCTAGTCTTTTGGGGCGCTGCATAAGCGCTGCGGGTATTACGCCTAGGTTGTCCCCTTGTCGAAGGCTCCACGGGTGTTCTAGTGGGGCTGCTCTTTTTCTAGGCATCGTGGTTTTTACTTGGCCAACACGTGGTGGGCGCCAATGTTGGAAAATAGCATTTTCCAGCTAGGTGATACGGAGAGGGCATTCTAACGGTCGGATGCCCCCAGCGAAGGGTAAGAAAGTGGTAAGTGGGTCCTAGCACAATTAGGGTTCTATAAATGCACTCACCAACCCACCAAACAAGTTTCAGCTCTCCCCTTTTATAGGGCTCTATTCACTACCTTTCCTTTTTACATCTTTGTCCTACAACTGCTATGGTACATTCCCTGAATATCCTCTTGTTAGTGCAGGTGGCCTAGGGCAAACTGGACCTCCCCTTTTTTGCACCACCTTGTCTCCTTGGGCCTTAATTACCGGCGCAAAGGAAAGCCCATTCCTAGCCCGAGGTCGCCTCCACACCATGAACCCTCCTGCTGTTGTGGAACCAGCTTCCACCACCGCCCATGGCACTGCGGCCTCCGCCTGTGCCAAGCGGCCTTCGCTCATGGTACTGCGGCCTTCGCCTTCGCTAGGCGACCTTCGCTTATTAGTCTCTGCTATCTCCAGACTCTATGGCCTCCGTGGCTCATGGTCATTCCCCCAACAGTTCCCCCTTTTGAGGGCATGGTCTGATGCTGGCGGGCCTTGTCCTCAAAATGTGGTATACCTTTGAGGCGCGGAGGCCCTTTGCTAGCGCGGAGGCTACCCCCTCTTCCCCCCTAGGCCGCTCAGATCTGACCGTTGGCCTCGTGACGTTGCGTATTTTGATTGGATGCGGTGGCTCTGGAACCAATGCATGCGAACGGACTTGACCGTTGGCACCTGGAAGGCGAAGCGTCCGTTCGCCGCCTATATAAGGGGGGTGACAGGGGCTCCCCCGTCTCTTGTCTAAGCAGTTGCTTTTGCATCTTTTTGCTTTCAAGTTCTCATCCTTGTTCCTTGGAGTCCTCTTTAGTTTTCTCCAGCCTTCATTTTTTGTCCCTAGCCTCTGCTTGGCTTTAGACCTTGCCCAATATTTTGGCGGTGGCTCCTCCTGTCAGCTCTCCTTCTCACTGGGCTACTTTCTTTGGTCCTTACCGCCATCTTCTTGGCATTCGGGCGAGCGAGTGGTCTGCGCGGTTCGAGGAGTGCATGGTTGCTAGTGCAAAGGCGCATGAGCTTGTGGAAGATCTCGCTAGCATTTATGCCTCTGTTGGTGATCTAATCAGAGTTGAAGAGGCGGGTCTAATGGCTAGGAAGACATGGGATTTTGGGCCTTCGTTGATGACCAAGAAGATGATCGCCAAGCTTGAGAACGAAGGGATGTTCCCCACAGACCAAGCTAAGCCTCCGCAGGATGAGACTATGCCTTCGCCTGGTAAGGACTATGCCATTGTTTTCAAGGATTACTTTTCATGCGGCCTTCATCTACCTTCCATCAAGTTCCTTCACCAAGTGCTTGAGGAGTTTAACCTTCATATTCATCATCTGACCCCCAATGGCTTCCTCACTCTGAGTAAATTTTGCTGGGCCTACGAGTCCTATGGAGCTACGCTTGATTTAGATACTTTTTGCACATACTATGAACTTCAGCGTCAGCCGAAGAAGGTGGGTGAAGATGAGCTCATAGCTCAATACGGTAGCTGCGCTTTTATGGTGAAGAGGCAGCAGGGGGAATCCCGATTGGAGATCTCTTGGTGTTAGAAGAATAAGTGGGATAAAGACTGGATGAAATATTGGTGTTATGTCTAGACCTTCGGTGTCACCATGACACAAGGATGGGAAGAAGAGTACCCGCTTCCCGTTGACCTCCGTAATGACAGAGATGAAGCCTCGACAAAGGTCAATCCTAGTGGGGAGATGACTCCTTAGAGGGAGGCCTATGACAAGGCCTTCACCTTGGCTTGCCAGCACTCTAGGGCCATGACCTTGTTGAGGAGATGGTTGCTTCGAACTGTTGGCCGCTTGGGAAATTGAGGTCTTCGTTCAAGATTGAGATGGTGAATATTCCTATTTACGGCCCAGCTAAGGGGGTTCCTTTCCCTCGATTTGGGATTGAGCTGCCAGAGGGTGAGAGTGTGGAAGACTTTGTGTCTTCTATGGAGGAAGGTGCATGGGAGATCGTCGGTGACATCTCTAACAGAGAATTTCTCGCACGGTGGGCCATCGGAGGCACGATGCCTTGTCTGAATCAGGTTTTTGAAGAGTTGGGTATCCATCATGAGGAGCACAAGGTTCCTTCAAAGGTGTTGAAATCTATTGAAGAGAAGGCAAAGAAGGCTGCTGCTAAAAATGCTACTGTGGTGGCGAAGTCGAACAAGAGGAAGGGGCTGGCGGGCCTAAAATTGTCAGCAAGAAATAGAAGATCATCCCCACATCTGCCACCGCCTCTGCCGTTGCCTCAGCTAACGTCGATGAAGAGGTTGTGGAGAATGCTATTGGAGGTTCTGCCTCTGACATCAAGGTAGAAGGTGATCATTCTGCCGCCTCTTTGGACCTTGGCGGCGACGACTTCATTGAAGATGCCCTCTAGGAGATGGGTGCCGAATCTGCTGCTGATCCTTCCATCACAGCGCATATGCCTGGCGTTCTTGGTGACAATTCGTCTGACTCAGAGGGCGAGGACATTGGCGGAGGTGGTGGTGTGCGCTCTCCTTCTGACGTGGAGGTCGATGGTACAAGCCGTCGCCGAACTATGGACGCCCAAGTGCTGGAGGAGTCCGAGGATGATGCGGAGGCGCAATCTCC